CTACAGAAGCACACACGCCTTCACCAGATGAGCGGCAACGGCCTGGGTCACAGCTTGAGGCAGTAGAGGAAGTCGTCTGCGTGGAGGGGGAAGGTGGGCGGCGGGTTTGTGATGATGTAGCGGAAGGAGACGCTGTTGGCGTCGCTGGCCATCTCGTGGAAGCGGTGGATGGCGAGCGGCAGCAGGCCGTTGTCGAGGCCGAAGGCGGTGGCGTCCTCGTAGGCGGTCCACGCGGCGTCCGGCGCCATGACGGTGACGAGCAGCGACTCGGACTTGGAGGAGAGCAGCTGCTCCAGCACGTCGAGCAGCTGCGGGGTGAAGTACATCTCCTGCAGGCCGGTGTCGAGCATGTGGCGGCACACGACGCAGCCGGACATGAAGCTCGGCTCCGACACCCACTCCGACGACGTGTTTGCGTCCTTGCCGACCGTCATGTAGGCGGACGCGAAGAGCGGCACCAGCTCCGCGTGGTCGACCTCGATGACGATGGGGATGTCGACGGCAGCGGCAGCGTCGGCGGCGGCGGCGCCGCTGGCGTCCCTGTCCTCGGCGATGAGCCTGCGCACGAGGTGCATGACGAGGACGGAGAGCGAGTCGCCGTGCTCGTCGCAGCGGTCGCCGGCGGAGAAGACGACGACGGCGGCGGCGCTGCCCACGTTGCAGCGGCGCAGGTCGGACGTGAAGAGGCCGCAGCCCTGCACGACGAGCAGGGAGCCGCTGACGTCCTCCTCCTCCCACATGTTGTTGAGGTAGTCGTAGTTGGTGTCGTTGGCGAGCAGCACGATGTCGCTGTCGGGGTTGTGCTGGCGCACGGGCCGCATGGTGTCGTAGTAGTCGGCCGCCTTGGCGGTGCGCGACTCGACGGCGGCCTCGCGCGACCAGCTGGTGCGCTCGTGCGCGGTGGAGAGGTCGATGAAGACGTAGTGGCTGGCGAGGTGGCCGACGTCGTGCACCACGCGCAGCGCGCTGTGTGCTGCTGCTGCTGCGGCGGCGGCGGCGGGGGGGAGGGGAGCGAGCGGCGACGCCGTGCACGCGGTGGCGGTGGCGCAGGAGGCGAGCGAGGCGCGACTCGACGGCCGCGCCATGCCTGCACGCGCAGCGTTGGTGCGCCACATGGGCGACGCCAGCGCGTCCATCATCAGCGCGTCGTCGTCGTTGTCGTCGTTCGCGACGGTGGTGGCGCTCAGCAGGAGGCTGGACGCGGCGTGCGGCACGCGAGTGTTCACGGCGAGCTCGCCGTCGACGCGGTGCGGCCGCCGTTGCAGCTCTGCGGCGCCGGCGCCGAGGACCGCGGCTGCCGTCCGCGCGGGCACCGCAGCAGCAGTGACAGTGGCAGTGGCGGTGGCGGTGGCGGCGGGCGGTGGCGGCGGGGAGGCGCAGGGTGAGGCGCTGACGCTGGCGCTGGCGCTGGTGGATGTGCCGCCGTCGCCGCCGAGCGGCACGACGGTGACGCCGGTCGCGTGCACGTTGGCCGGCGGTGGCGGGAGGGCTGCCGCTGCCGCTGCTGCTGCCGCTGCCCCGGCGCTGCTGCCGCGGTGGCGCGCGTGCTGCTGCGGCTTGTGCGACCGGTGGCGCCGCGTGGGGCCGTCGGCACCCGCGGCCGGGTTGACGAGCGCGTCGTTGACGATCTCGTCCACGATGTCCTGCGCGACGCGGCGCACGTCGCAGATGATGATCAGCTTCTGCACGCCCACCAGCGAGCCGCGCGGCGCCAGCTCCACCACGCCGCCGCTGCCGCCGCTGCCGCCGCCGCCGAAGGCGCCCTCGCCGTCGCCGTCGCCGCCGCCGCCGCGCACGACGCCGATGAGCGTGATGTCGGTGCGGTACAGCAGGCGCGCGAGGCTGAGGAAGGTGTAGTGGCCCTGCTGCACCGGCGCCGGCGCCGCCACGGTGGCGACGTGCTGCGCCAGCGACGCCTCGTACGTGCTCATCCAGTTCGGCTCCGCGCTGATGCCCAGCTCGATGGTTGCGGCGCCGTAGGTGAGCATGTCGCGCTTGCGCGCCAGCATCTTGCGCATCGCGCGCAGACTCGCCTCGCCGCCGCTCAGCCCGAACAGGTCCTTGAAGTCGCGCAGCTCCCACAGCGCCTCCGTCGTCATGGGGTCGAACATGCGCATCAGGTTCGCCACGAACGGGATCATGCCCGGCAGCACGCAGCCCAGCCCCAGCAGGTTGTGGCTCAGCCGCTCGAACTCCAGCACGTTGGCGCGGCTCGGCATCAGCGACTTGGTGTACCGCGAGCGGTGCAGCAGGATGTACAGCGGCAGCTCCGGCATCAGCTTGCTCACTGTCGCCGCCTGGTGGGCCTGCTCGTAGTCGCTGTAGTAGCTGGAGTTGGTGCCTGCGCCGAGCAGGAACATCGCCGATGCACCACGCGCGTTGCAGCGGTCGAGGTCCGTCTCCACGGCCGGGTCGCCGACGAGGAGGTGCACGGCGCTGCGGTACTTGGGGGAGTTGAGCAGCAGCAGCACCTGCGCCGACGGCTGTTCGCGCAGCATCAGCACCACGCTCATGTTCAGGTAGTGGCGGTCCTCGGCGAAGATGTTCTTCAGCTGCATGCGCAGCTCGTTGTAGCCGAGGTTGCCGCAGATGACGACGTGATCGGTGCGCTTGAACCACGTCGTGTAGTACTTGTAGGAGAGGTGGTAGACGCCGAGGTCCGCGACGTACTGCAGGATCGGAACGAAGTAGCTGAAGCCGACGCCGATGAAGATGATCATGAGCAGACGCCCTTGCACCGTCAGGGGGGTGACGTCGCCGTAACCGATGGAGGAGAAGGTGAGCAGCATCATGTAGACCATGTCGAAGTACTCCACCGGGTCGCCGCAGAAGCTCTCGACGGCCTGCAGGATGCCGACGCTGATGCCGATGACGGCGAAGCACTGGATCATGGAGCGCACCATCTCGAGCCTGTTCTCCGTGAAGTAGACGCTGATCTGCGGGTAGTGCAGCAGCGACAGCAGGCTCTCGTGCAGCCACCAGACGCGCAGGAACATGGGCGCGTAGACGTGCGTCCAGGCGCGGTCCAGCGTGACGAGCGCGGCGACGGCGAGCAGCAGCATCCAGCCGCTGCTGAGGTAGTTCATGAGCGAGCGCGCGTTGAGCACGTAGTCCCACTTCTTCGCCTCGACCGCGAGCATGGAGATCCAGCTGGTCATGAAGACGACGCTGAACAGCACCTCGGCGATGAAGTAGCCGAAGCCCCACTCGAAGTCGCGCCAGTTCTCCGTGACGTGGCCGTTCTGCACGTGCAGGTAGATGCCGAAGGCGGCCGCCTCCAGGCTGACGTTGCACAGCAGCAGCAGGATCGACACGTGCGAGTAGCGCTGCTCCACCACGTCGAAGAGCTTGCGCAGGCTGTGGATGCCGAAGCCGGCCTGGTCGTAGTGGTAGACCCAGCGGTGGCGCAGCGCGTTGGGCGGCAGGCCGGCGGTGTGGCGCAGGTTGGCGACGTTGTTCTGCAGGTTGCGCAGCTGCGAGTGGATGGTGCCCTGCAGGTTGCGGAAGCGGTTCACCAGCGTCGCCTGCACATCCTGGCCGAGGTTGACGAGCGTCGCCTGCACGTCCTGGCCGAGGTTGACCATGAACAGCCTCGCGTTGAGCCGTGTGCGCGCTGTGGCGGAGGCGGTGCCGGGCTCGGCGGCCGGCACCGTCGTCGTGTCGGCGTCGTCGTCGGCGAGGCACGCGGGGGGCGCCGCGGCCGCAGCGGCCGCTGCATCATCCGGCGCTGGTGCCGCCGGTGGGGACGCGCTGGTCGCCGCGGAGGGCTGCTGCTGCTGCTGCTGCGGCTGCGCTCTGCTGCGTCCCGGGAGGTCATGGATACCCACTCCGGCGGCAGCGACGACACACAGACACACACACACACACACACACACACGCGGAGAAGAGGCGTGGGCCAGCAGCAACAAATGAGAGCCCCGCAGGAGGTGCACAGGTGTTGGTGATGAGGTGGGCCACACGTGAGCGGTGTGTGGCACCAGCGAGAGAGAGTTAGTAAATGTGGGAGAGGGGGGGATAAAGAAGATGAGGGAGAAGGAGGGGCTTCGAAGGACGACGAGGCACGCGAGTAACGGCGGAGCGTGTGTTCACGGAGGAGCGCACCGAGAGAGAGAGACGAGAGTCGATAACGATGCGCCTCTGACGCACTGTCTCTGTGTGTGTGTGTGTGTGTGGGGGGAGGAGGAGGAATGGGAGTGGAAAGCAAACAAAAAAAAGTGTACTCGGAGCGATGCGTGACGGTGTCGACTCCTCTTGTGCGTCGAGTGTGAAAGAGAGAGAAGAGACAGAGAGACACAGAGATAGAGTGAGTGAGAGTGAGTGAGAGTGTGTGAGTGAGTGGACAAGAGGACACGTGAAGAGTGGACAGACGTGGATGAGGAGGTCGACGCGGTGACGCGCCATCGCGCCATCGCGTCATCGCGCCATCGCGTCATCGCGCCATCGCGTCATCGCCTCCTCCTTCCATCGACAATCGGGCTTTGATGTGTTTTCTATTCTTGTCGTGCCGATGGTGGGCAGATGTACACAGACACACACAGGAGATGTCGGGCAACACCTCATCAGGTAGAGAGAAGGAGAGAGGAGAGGAGAGAGAGAGCAGAGAGAGAGAGAGAGAGCAGAGCCTGCGCTTCACCAACGCAGAAGGGGGAGGGGGAGCATGTGTGTGTGTGTGTTGTACTCCGCGAAAAAAAAAAAACAGATCACGTGGAGCCACACTGTGCCTGTTGATGTTGTCGTTGGAGAGGCACGCTTGCGCGCACGTCTGATCTCTCTCTCTGTCGGGTGGTTGGTGGTCATGATCGCTGCATCGGCTACGCCTGGGTCAATTCGAACCCACCGCTCCCTCCCCAAAAGTCCGCGTCACCTGAGGCGGTCGTCCCCACCCCGTCCGCCCTTGTCCGCTGAAGATCCTATTGAACTTCCAATGCCTCTGCAGGTGAGTCTCGCCACCACCCCCACCTCCACCACCTCACCACTTTCACGGGGGGGGGGGGGGGGGGGGGGTACAACACTCGGGGTTCCCCCGAGTCATCACTGACCACAGTGTCGCCGGAGCACTTTCGTGTTTAACTTCACAAATCGGGCGGGATGTGGTGTTCTCACCCAGGCGTCGTCGTACTCGAGGGTGCCGCGGGGGTGTATGTGCGGCCATGTGTGTGGGCCCCCCACAGCCCCCGCGCCGACCGTTTTCGCGGCGGCGCGGAAAAAAAGTGAGAGTACGACGCTCAGGGTTCCCGAGTCATCACGGACCTCAGTACTAACTGGGCCTGTAAGTGGTTAACTTCGCAAATCGGGCGGGATGTGGTGTTCTCACCCAGGCGTCGTCGTACTCGAGGGTGCCGCGCGGGGTGTATGTGTGTGCGGCCATGTGTGTGTGTGTGTGGCCTCCCACAGCCCTCGCGCCGAGCCGCGCTCCCATCGTGAAGACGAAAAAAAAAAAAAATGCGAGAGTACGGCACTCAAGGTTGGTGTGTGTGTGTGTGTGTATGTGTCTGTATGGGAGAGAAGCAGCAGCAGCGGCAGGAGGAGGGGGGGATGGTGCAGCGACGCTGTCGGCTGTGTGAGAGAGCGTGTGTGTGTGTGCGTCGCACCGTCGTGTGGTGCGACGGTGACTGTGCCTCTCACAGCGTCGACAGCAACACGATCCATCTGGCACCATTCCTTGCGCGCACCTGCACGCATGCGTCCCGGTGCGTGTGCGTCTGTGTCGCGGTGTCTTCTTTTGGACTTCACTGCATGTCGAAGTTGGTCCCTCGGATTTGCGTCTTGTGAATGCGGTTCCCATGTGTGCAAACCGCGACGTGCGCGACCCGAGTTCCAGTGATGATAAGAAGCAAACAGGAAAATAAATGTCTCGACCGCACACACACACATATATATATACTCACACACGCGTACACACACAGAAACAAAGTGCGGCTGGTGCTCCTCCGCCGCCGCTGTCACCGCCACCGCCGCTGCTGCTGCTGCTGCTGCTGCTCGTCAGGCTGGTCGCCTCCCGCCTAGCCGGGCGTGATGTAGAAGATCATGTCCGTCTGCTGGAGCACCGGCAGCGCGCGCGGCGGGTTGGTGAGCACGAAGCGCTGGCCGTGGATGGACGGGTTGCGCACGTCGACGATGCGGCGGTGCAGCGCGATGGGGAGGAAGCCGAGCTTGAGGCAGTAGGCGACCACGTCCTCGTAGGTGTGCAGCTCCGCCTCGCACAGCGCGAGCGGCAGGCGCGCCAGCGCGGGCGTGTCCGGCGCGTGGCCGCTGATCAGCACGTCCATGACGTCGATGAACTCCTCCATGAAGTAGGTGCGCTGCAGCGCGGGGAACAGCATGTGGCGGTTGACGGCGTTGCCGATGATGAAGTTCGGCTCGTACACGAAGTCGATCTCCGCCTTGGTGCGCAGGCGCGGGTCGTCGGCGTGCGGCGGGAACAGCGGCAGGTTCGCCAGGCCCTCCAGCTCCACCACCACCGGGAACGCCGGCACGCCGTGCAGGATGTCGTTGATGGACAGCACCGTCAGCATGGACATGGCGCTGGTCGACCCGGTGCGGCTGATGTCGCCGGCGTAGAAGACGCAGCAGCCGGCGCAGCGCTCCAGGTGGCAGCGGCGCAGGTCCGCGGTGTTGAGGCCGCAGCCGCTGATGTACTTCACCGGCGGCGCGCCGTCCTGGCGGTGCACGCCCCAGTAGTAGTCGAAGTAGGGGCCGAAGCTCACGTCGTTGGTCAGCAGCACCACGTCGTTGGCGGGGTAGGCCTGGCGCAGCGGCAGCACCACGTGGAAGATGTCGTGCGCCACCGCCGTGCTGGCCGCCTCCTGCGCGTAGCGGCTGGACGCGTCCTTGTCCTTCGCGGACGACAGGTCGATGATCACGAAGTGGTTCACCAGGTCCAGTGCGTCGTCGACGCGCTCCAGCGCTGCAAACCGAGGCAGCGGCGGCGACCCAACGTGAGTGGGTGATCCGACGGGGCTGCCGCTCGCCAGTCGCAGCGCCGCCGACGCTGCGGTGATGGCGAGCGGTGCGCCGCCGGTGGTGTCGCCGCCACCGCCCTCGTCGTCGTCGTCGTCGCCGCTCGCCTGCGCCACATCCGGGATGCAGCCGTGCGGGATGAGGAAGACGGAGCGCTGCGCTGGAGGCAGTGGTGACGGCGTCGGTGTTGCACCGCGCACCGGCAGGGTAGCGCTGCCGCTGCTGGCGCAGCGCTGGTCGAGCTGCTTCTGAGACACACGCAGCCCCTCCTGCAGCTCGTAGGAGCCGTAGGTGTCCAGTGTGGCGCTCACGGCGCTGCGCTGCTGCATGTCTCGGGCCACTGTGTCGAAGTCCTCGCCGCTGTCGTTGTGGCAGTACCCGCCGACGCTGCGACTTCTTCCTTCCCGCGCACGTGCCTGGCGCCGACGGCGCATCTGATGTTCGTCGAAGTCCGGCGCACGAAGGATCTCCTCGCCGAAGGTCTGCTCGCAGTCGCGCGCGATGGCGTAGGTGGCGTCCTGCGCGACCTTCATCGTCTTGGCGATGAGGATCAGCTTGCGCGCGTTGGGGATCAGCTCGCGCGGGTTGAGCTGCACCACGCTGCGCGCGTTGAGGATGCCGATCAGCGTCACGTCCTTCTCGAAGAAGGCGCGCGCCAGCACGCGGAACTCGCGCCCGCGCAGCGCGTCGGGGATCTCCAGCCCGTACATGTCGTTGCGCAGCGAGTACTCGTACTGCTCCACCCAGTGCCGCGACAGCGTCATGTCGGACGGCAGCGACTCGTAGGTGCGCAGCAGGTTCACGATCAGCGGCACCACGCCGGGCTGCGCCATGGACAGCCCCAGCAGGTGGTGCAGCATGCGCTCCACCTCTAGCACGCTCGCCGCGTACGGGCTGATCTGGCGCACCGTGCGGTTGCGGCGCAGCAGCAGGTGCTGCGGCAGGTTGCGGTCGTACAGGCTGACCGCCATGGACTGCGCGATGATGGTGTAGTCCTCGTAGTACGCAGACGAGCGCGAGTCGCCGAAGAGGAAGATGGCGTCGGCGTCGCGTGCTCTGGCGCGTTCGAGGTCGCCCGAGTTGACTGGATCACCCACCATCAGCGTCACGCGGCCCTTCAGCCACGGTAGGTTCGCCAGCAGCCGCACCTCCGGCGAGTGCTCCTCCGGCGCCATCAGCACGATGCACGTGTTCAGATACTTGCGCCACCCGGCGTAGAAGTTCTGCAAGAGAAGCTGCACTCAGCGGTCGCCGAAGCGACCGCAGATGATGACGTGTGGGTGCCGCCAGCTGCGCCGCAGCAGCCACGACACGGAGCTGCCGCCGTTGAACCTGTTGTAGAACTGCTTGCGCTCCGCGATGATCGCCAGCCGCTGGAACATCGGAAGGAAGAAGCAGATGCCGATGATGATGAACGCGATCATGAAGAGTCGCGCTGGGGTGGTCAAGGCGGACAGGTCGCCGAAGCCGATGGTGCCGAAGGCGGCCACCATCATGTAGAGCGAGTCGTAGAGGTCGATGTAGTTCCCAGTACACGACTCCACGATCTGATGTGTGCTGACGCAGGTGCATATGACCGCGAACAGTCGAACGAAGTAGCGCGTGATGTCCCGCCACACCTCCGGGATGAAGCGTGCGATCTGCGGGTAGTCCATCAAGATGCTGATGCAGTCGCCCAGCCACCACACGCGGAGGTACATCGGCACCCAGCCGGAGAGCCACGCCGGGTGTGACAGGGCCCCGATGCCGAGCACGATCATGGGGACGCTGGTCATCGCATTCACCAGCGACAGCCACGAGACGAGGTATGTCTTCTTGTCCTCCTCGAAGAAGAACAGCGCGACCCACGCGAGCAGGAAGACGACGTTCAGCGCCACCTCGACGATGAAGATCGGCACGCCCCACGCGAAGCTCGACACGGACGTGGCGGCGGTCGCCTGCGACGTCCACACGTAACAGGCGACGGAGACCGTCTCCATGGCCGTGTGCGCCAGCAGGCCGACGATGGACACGTTGGTGTGGCGCTGGTCGAGGAACTCCACGAACTTGCGCAGCGAGCGGTAGTTGGCTGCTGTGTGACCGTAGTGCTTGTCTGTGAACACCTGCGGCCGATCGGTGCGGCGGCCCAGCCGCGAGTGCATGCGTGAGTTGACGCCGACTCGCGGTGGTCGAGCGTAGAGGTACGGCGACGACCCCTCCGCGTGAGGAGGCGCGGGCCTCGCGCAGGTCTGAACGAGGAGCATCGCAGCAATGGTGCGGCACGGCGGTGTGTGTGTGGGTGTGTGTGTGTGTGTGTGGGTCGACACGTCTTGTCCACCACGTGAACCAAGCAAGCTCTCCTGCTCTCTTCCTCTCTCTCGTTCGGAGCGCGTGCAGGTGCGCCTGCGTGTCTGTCTCTGTGTGTGTGATGTGTGTTCACACAGAGACAGAGCGACCAAGATGGTGGCGAGGCGGGATGGATACCAGCGCTGATGGCGGACTCAGCGAACCGCCCCGCTCAAAAAGAACACACACACACACTCACACACACACACGAATAAACAACAACAACAAAAGAAGAAGACACGTGAAGGAGTCACACCGCGTGAGCAGAAATGAAAAAAAAACAAAACAAATCAAAACAAAAGACAAGATCAGCAGCAGCAGCAACAAGGAACAACGCAGATGGAAATACAGGGAGAGAGACAGAGACTGACGCTGACACAGACAGACAGACAGAGAAACAGATACGCAGGATCAGCAAAAAAAAAAAAAAGAGGTGCACGTGTGGTGTGATTGGTGACGGTGCTCGATGGTGTGTCCCACCCCCCACACCCCCCTCGTCTCCGCTCCCGCCGCAGTCCTGCGGGACTCGTCACCCGCGCCGACAGGAAGAGAAACAAAAGAACAACAACAACAGCAAAAGAACACACGCACGCACAGACAGGCACTGGAAAAAAAAAAAGAAAAGAACTCAACACTCGGGTTGCGCTCGTGTCGCCACAGTCACACCCTCGCACACAAAGTTGCTGACGTCCTCGTGCGTATTTTTTTTTTGAAAGTGTGTGCGAATGTATGTGAATGTGTGTGTGTGTGTGTGATGCGCTCGATCGGGGGATGAGGTCGACACGAGAGGGACGCAGACGCAGAGACACCGCGACGCACTCCGAGAGAGAGGCGGC